AAAACAAATTGTCTAACTTATATAGTCAGTATCAGCAGCAAAGACTCTGCAAGCAAATGTGAACTTATAGCAAAGTGAAAGAATTTCACATGATTGCCTCAGTACTTTCCCAGATGACTGTATCTGTTGTGTTCTTCTGTAGCTGTTTGTAGCTGGGCTGATTGTGCTGCTGCTGGATGAGTTGCTCCAAAAGGGCTATGGTCTTGGTTCAGGGATCTCACTGTTCATTGCTACCAACATCTGCGAGACGATCGTCTGGAAGGCCTTCAGCCCCACAACTGTGAACACCGGAAGAGGTAAGAAGCCGCAAAGTGGTCGGTGAATATGTAACTTTGGTAAATACCATGGTCGTGATCAATTCCATCCTGTTGCTCTTCTGCACTCCACAGAAATATGCCTCACACGTGTGACTTCTTGTGTTTTTAGGCACAGAGTTTGAGGGAGCAATCATTGCTCTTTTCCATCTGCTGGCGACCCGGACAGACAAAGTGCGTGCTCTGAGAGAGGCCTTCTACAGGCAGAACCTGCCCAACCTCATGAACCTCATCGCCACAGTATTTGTCTTTGCTGTAGTGATATACTTTCAGGTGAGTCGCAGTCCTTTCTTTTGTGTGACTTCACTCGAAACTGCTTAAATTTTGAAATAGGGGATGAATTTAAATTGTTTAGGAAATATAAATGGTTCAGTTGTTCACAGCTGTCCTGCACATTCACCTTTTCTCACAGGGATTCAGGGTGGATCTGCCCATCAAGTCAGCTCGCTACCGTGGCCAGTACAACACCTACCCCATCAAGCTCTTCTACACCTCCAACATTCCCATCATCCTGCAGTCTGCCTTGGTCTCCAACTTGTACGTTATCTCCCAGATGCTCTCCACACGCTTCAGTGGCAATTTCCTGGTTAATCTGCTTGGAACTTGGTCTGTAAGTATACATTTAATCTGAGCTTTTCGCACAACTTTCTGTTCAGTTTCTCAAAGCATTAGTCTCAATAAATGCTTCATAATTCAGATTATCATCATCATCATCAAAGACACAATCTTACTGTTAGTATACCTTATTTTGAAATTATTGGGTGTAGATCTCCCTATATAAAGGAACATTTGTCTGCCCATTCAAGGATGTAATCATTATTTTCTCATGTTTGCAGGACACCTCGTCAGGTGGTCCAGCCCGTGCCTATCCTGTCGGTGGACTCTGTTACTACCTCTCCCCCCCAGAATCATTTGGCTCTGTTCTAGATGACCCAGTCCACGCAGTCATCTACATTGTCTTCATGCTCGGATCATGTGCCTTTTTCTCCAAAACCTGGATTGAAGTCTCTGGCTCCTCTGCTAAAGATGTAAGTTGTAACTGCTTTCTGGCAGGTGGTGTTAATGGATCATTTCAAACAGACTGTGCTTTAGAGCTCTGTTCTTCACTCTCATCCAGGTGGCGAAACAGCTGAAGGAGCAGCAGATGGTGATGAGGGGACACAGAGAAACCTCAATGGTCCATGAACTGAACAGGTAAAATCAAAAATGTTTTCATGTACAGATCTTTTTTTGGCTTTTAATTTACATACCCCATTAGTCGTACAAACCATACACGGAACAAGGTTATCGGTTAGAGTGGTTACAAGTTGTTATCATGAATTCACATCATCTAATGTTGTTGGCAATTGTCTGGTCACAAAGCAAATAACTCCCATCTTATAACTAAAGCTGCAGATTGTCATATTAAATCACCTTACCTTACTTTACTGCAACACATGTTCCATTGGCACTGGACTCTGCAGTGTGACACTCGCCTAAAATATTTTTTACAGTCACTGTAAAGTGCTTTTCAAAATGAATTGTGATTGACGAAATATGTCATGAGAGTAAGGAAAAGCTGTTAGCATCAGAAAGTGTGAGATATATCGAAAACAATAGGCCAGCATAGGTGTAAATGATGAAATTATTGATGTCTTAATGATCGTATTTATCCCTTTTAATCTCTGTTGATTTTCCTTGTATAAAATTTTGTGTCCTTTTGAAATGTTACTCAACCCAAATAAAGATTTAGTATGTTGTTAAAGGGTCAGAGTGCAAAAATGTCAGCTACTAAGTTACAAACTAATTGAATATAGTGCAGCAGTTCAAGAATGTGATTACCTTTTGTTATTGCTGATGTTTTTCTCAGTTGTCTGCACATTGCTCACTTGGGTGTGGATCTATAATATGCACCATTTAAAGAAATAGTTGAACACTCTCATTCATGTTTTCTAGGATAGCTGTGTCCCTAACCAGCTGCTGACTGTAGCGTCATATTTAACGGACAGACAATGTCAATTTCACTCTGACCAAGAAAGGGAACGAGCATTTCCCCAAACGTCAAACTGTTCCTTTAATCACTGCTCCACAATCATCATGAATGTATTTGAATTTTAACTGTTCTTACTATTCACAGCCTGAAAAATCTGAAAAATCGTAAAGTAAAATTCTACGTATTAATATTCATCTCTATCTCCCTGTTTTGTATTCAAGGTACATTCCTACTGCTGCTGCCTTTGGTGGACTGTGTATCGGTGGTTTATCAGTGATGGCGGACTTCCTCGGAGCCATTGGCTCTGGTACCGGTATCCTGCTGGCCGTCACCATCATCTATCAGTACTTTGAGATCTTTGTGAAAGAACAGAGCGAAGTAGGCAGCATGGGGGCCCTGCTCTTCTAGAAAAGCCAATATCCTCCCACTGTCCACCAACTTTTATTAGGATCACCAACCTTGCATTTATTTTACAACCATGTGAAGCGCCTGCATCATCAGTTCTCCACTTTCAGGATGTGTGAGGAATCTATTCATGAATCTCAGCTGAAATGCGATGTTCTTAGGTGGTACGACTATACAGCCTGTTGCTTCCTCCACATATCTTCCAAAATAACACAAAGACAGACATTTCAGTTGTACTTCATCAGATTTTCCAACTGACTCGAGATTAAAGCTCCCCTAGTTTCATTTAAAGGCTTCCTTTGTGTATGAAACGAAGTCCTGCGGGAGTTTGGTTCTTTTTTCAGACTGACAAGAGAGCGCTTCAGTATGCAGGCATACTTGACTTGGAAGATGGTGGTCAACCGCCAGCTGTGTGCGTACAAGCACGCGACCATCTGCTTGGCGTCATCTTAGTTTATATTTTTGCTTTCAACTTTATTTTATTTTTCTGTTAACCTGCCAATCAGGTAAAGGAATGGACCAGGCCCTGAACTGCCAGGCACTGAGTCTAGTATTGTATATTTTCCTGATTTTTGTGACCCCGTGATAGGTTTTATGTGAACAGGGTCTTGTAAGAAGAGGAAGCGGAGCTCACATTGGGGTCCACCTGTCAAAATTTGATCATCTTATTTTTGTGAACAGTCATTCAATATGAACCTGAAAAAAACAACAACAAAAAAAAAACAAAAAGGGTCCACATAGTCTTAATGTATGGCATTCCCAGGGAACTGCAGTATTAACTCACATGTCACGTTCATTCTTGTTACCCATTTCCTAATATTTGTTTTGGATTTTTAATTGTCTGCTCCAAGCATACTCTCATTAATCACTATTTCAGACCCAACAAATTATGATTTCTGTACATAGGCTATGCATTGAATAACTTTGAATTTGTCTTAAGTGTAAGATAAAGTCTTTTGAATATGTAAAAATGAATACATTTCTGAACAAACTTATATAAAAACATTCTCAAAAACTATTGTGGAGAAAGGCTTTAAGTTTTTGATTGAGTTTTGTCTCCTTTAATACTGATGCAGTTAATGTATTAAGCCAACATATCTTGATGTCTTTTGACCATGTTTCACACTGCTCAACTGTCAATAGTTGTTGATGTGAGGCTATTAGCTTTAGTCAAATAATGCCCCAGGAAAATCCTTGGATTTTTTTTTCAGATTTGTAAAGATGTCAATTTTACATGTTCTGTATTTTTCTGGTGCTATAAGACTCACTGTAATAGGGCAACTTTAATTTTGGGCACAGGAAATAGACAACATTTTGAACACACATTTATCTTTTATGACCCAGTACCAATGGGATGAGGTGTAACTACTACCAGGGCTGATCAATAATTAAACACTATCTGGTAAGCATTTTGTAATTCCGTATATTGTGATGTGAAGTACATGACAACATATTTCTTAATAACTACAATTTCTTGTCAGTGAAACACCAGAGGCATTTGACTGAATAAGATGAATGAGTTTATTCAACCTTCTGTCATGTGACTTAACACCCTGTGATCGGAAAATATCATCACAGTATCTAAAAGGAGATTTTGGTATTATAGCAATATTCATTTTTATTTTAATCCCCAGCCCACTGTAAACCTCAATTAATAATTTAGTCGATCAACAGAAAATGAATTGGCAACTGTATAGAATAACTGAATAATTGTTTTAAGTCATTTTTAAGCAATAATGCCACATATTTGCTGGTTCCAGCTTCTTACATGTGATGGTCTGATGCTTTTCTTCATCACACATGACAGTAAAGTGAGTATCTTTGGATTTTGGACTGTTTGACAGTGTTTGTCAAACAAAACAAAAGATATGAAGATGTTGCCCTGGGCTTTTTCCCCAGTATTTCATGGAATTATATAGATGAAACAATTAATCGTAAAAATATTCAGTTGCAACCCTAAACAGAATATTTCAATTGACTGAAAAAGTCGTATGTGTCGCACTTACTGTTGTGGATTGTTTGTATCCCCCTCTATTACACCTCTCCTCCTTTCTCTTGTTAGGAATGTTAATACTGTGTTTTGTATTGAATAACCGATTGATAATGTAATGCGTCTTTCCAAAAAATGTGTGCTACTAAGTTCATTTTATATGAAAGTGTAGAAATAAAAAAAATATCATAAAGCAAGAGAGAAATCGTACATAAAAAAAAGACACTTGATTTATTTGAACTCTAGGGGGCAGCGGTGTGCTGCGGAGCGTCTGTGTTACCGGAAACAGAAGAGAAGAGGAAGTCGTGTCCATGCTGCAGCAAGGGTAGTTGTGAAACAGTGGAGCTGATGCTGCCAGACTAAAACCTCTGATATTTTCATGTGTTGTGTTGTTCGTTAAAAAGAGTCGTTGTCCTCGTTGGTCAACCAGCTGGTGCAGTGAATCAAAAAAGAGGAGTTTAATCTTTCCCAGCGTGAAGAAATGAGCTCGGTCAGAGAGGAAGGTAACTACACTGTGCTAACCGGCTAACTTATCTGAAAGGCGAACAATGAAGTTTAAAGTCTGGATAAAAAAATTAATACATTTTTAATTAATTAAATGTCAGTAAGCTTCTCGCTAAGATGAGATTTCGGACTGTCAAAATGTTTACGTGTTAGCTGTCACCATCACAGTGTTTAACCTTGACCAGCAACAGGATGCAGAAACGTTATAATGAACTCACCTGAAGACTGACGGTGTTACCTTGGAAAGTCACAGTTATTGAGTGATTGTCTTTGTATAAGTCAAACATGAAAGGTCCAGTGGTGGACAGTACCTCATTTCCCTAAGTACTGCGCTCAAGTACAGTTTGAGGTTCTTGTACTTTAAGTATTTACACTGTTTTATCAACTAGGTTTCAGAGGGAAACATCAGTACTTGTTACCCAATTTCCTTTAATTGACAGCTGTAGTCATTTGTTACTTTGCAGATTAGTATTTAACTTATAAAATACACAAAATTGTTACATATAAAACAGTGTTTCCCAACCTTTTTGGCTAATGACCTCTCACAAAAAAAGCAGTGTTTACTTTGGGCCCCTGTCACGTTTCACAGGGCCCAACTCCCAGGTTGGTTAAAACTAGTTTTCACTGAAGCATCAATATTAACAATCTAATAATGAAATATGTAATAGTGTAACACAAATAGGTGATGTTTTTCCTGTAGCATAATTACTTTAACTTTTGATACTTTATGTACATTTGGATGATAATATTTCTGCGCGTACAGTACTATAACTTACACAGTTGTATTGATGTTTGTGGTTAAGTAAAAGATGTGAGCAATTTCTGAACCACTGAACTGGTCATATTCACAAGTTTAGACTCACCAGGCACAGGCAAAACATATTAATGATCCATTTCTTCTACTTCTTCACATGCTCTTATTCTTATTTTGTGGTATACCATAATCATTTTCATGTTCTTTCTTTCCAACAAACAATCCAAAAGATATTGAGCTTACGTTTACAAACCAATATAAATTGATTATGTAAATTGGAGAAAAGCAGTAAAGAATTATAATTATAATATATAATTACAACTAACTAACTAATAAATCAACTAACCATTTCAGCACTAATTATCATACATTTGAGGTTCAACAGGTGAAGAGGTGCAGGGTGTAAGACTCCGTAATTCACGTTTGTATTGTTCTTTTTCCATTTTACACAACAGGTAAAGACCGAATTATCTTTGTCACCAAAGAGGATCATGCAACACCCAGCAGTGCTGAGCTCATAGAGGAAGATCCCAATGACCCGTATGAGGAGCAAGGTGAACAGCTGTAAAGCAACCCATCCTCAGGCAAAACTGTAACTCTAGTGGTCTTTATAAACCCCAAGTTTAGTATTCTGCTTAAACCTCCTCTCTCCAATCCTAGGTCTGATTCTTCCCAGTGGGGAGATCAACTGGAACTGCCCCTGCCTGGGTGGGATGGCCAGTGGTCCCTGTGGGACTGAATTTAAGGACGCCTTTTCCTGTTTCCACTATAGTAAAGAGGAGGTGAAGGGCTCTGAATGCTTGGAGCAGTTCAGGGCCATGCAGGAGTGCATGCAGCGTTACCCAGAGCTCTACCCACAGGAAGATGAGAAGGTGCCACAAGAACAGTTGTCGGAAACAGAACAGACCTCGCAAGAATCTGGATCTCCAGAAACACTAGGTACAAACTCAACATCTACCATGGAGCAAGGCTCTAATACCACACAACCAAACACAGAGAGCTCAGCAGAAAGCTAATAATGAGCCTCAGTGACAATGAGAGGAACAAGTGTTTAAAGTGTTTAAAATCACATTTAGTCATCCTTTCTTGCAGACAAAAATGATGCCCAAATGTCTTTAAATTTACTCGAGTGTTTTTTATTGTTAAAAGGAAGGTAAAAGTTTTTGAGGTAATATCAAAAATACTTGTTTTACTCTAGCAGCTGTGGGCGTGTCGGTGGCTGAATGACCAAAAGAGGAGGGAGAGACGAAGTTTAAAAAATAGGAAAAAAAAGCTAACACCATAACTTACAAGCAGTTTTGTCAGCAGTGGTAAAGAAGAGTAATGGTCACACCACCATCCAGACAGTTTGAAAAGTTATTTGCAGGCACATTTAGCGTGCTGTTTAGTGTGCTGCAGCTGACCAGCTTTATAGCCATCAAGCCCACAAGCTGACATTAGCAGTGCACTTCCAGGTGAAGGTTTGCTTGGCCACTTGTTCAGCCACCTAAGGACAGAACAAGACGTCTTTGTAAGTTAGCTAGACTTAAGAAGGAAAGCTAATGTGGGTTGTTTTTCAAAGTCTGTGGCTACTGCTTTATGAAAATATTTTTGTAATGATGCACGGACATCACATGGATTGAGAACTGTTATTCAGATGGATTTATGCACGATCGTCATGAAACTAAAAAATATAAAAGTACAAAATCTCTATTTTGGCTTCTAATTTTTTCTCAATGCAGAAGACAGATGTGATTAATGTTATACCAGGCAAAAACATTAGGTTTAATTTCACTTGGACTTTAAACCACTATTTATGACTAAGCTGGGCTTTTAATTTTGTAAAACTAATAGAATGTGGTCCAGGAAAAAAATGACTGTCTAGAATGTTAAAATTCATGTTGTTCAGTCCTGCCTGTGGATGCAGGCAAAACAAGAGGTGGATAATATTTATTTTTTACTTCATTTTTATATGTTTTATACATTTTTCATTTTTCATTCTCCCATGTCTGTGCTTTTTTCTTATGGTGTAAAAATATTTAGCATTTAAATGGACAATATTTGTTACACAAGGTTTATGTCAGTAATTTTGCTGATAAAGTTGCTAAATTCACAGAGGGGGGAAGAATGTGATGAAGAATATGTTGTAACTCTCCAGTGTTGAATCTTGAGTAGCATGTTTCTACAGGTGCCCTCTGTCCTATGGGGCTGCATTTCTTCTGCTAATTTAAAAAAAAAAACAGACTTTTTAAAACTTTTACCTCGGCTGAACTCATCGGAACCACTTGTATGTAACATAGGACAACTGAAGTGACTTGAAGTAAAATACTGTTGAAAGTTATATAATAAATTGTATGAAACCCCTATGGTTCTTGTGATGTGGTTCTCGTTGTAAACCTCTCCCATCTGCCTAGGCCTGATCATGCAATGACTGTCAGCGAGAGCAAATGTGTCATTAGGACTCACCAGCACCTAGCAGAGAGTAACTTTGCACTGACCATAAACAAGTTAATTAAGAAACCCTTAGGTCAAACATTGTCACTGCCTTTAAATTTTATCTGGTTTGAGTTAATTAAATGTGTATCACATGTTTGCACTGTGAATGCAGGTATTTCTGAAAGAATATGTATTAATTTGTCATTTACTTTAATCATTACCGTTAAACACTTTATTTTGTTTGTGCATTCCACCTTCCTTTGGTGTAAAATCTTGAATTTGTAAGCCTGATTATCTCTGATTAAAATATTTAATATATCACAGAACGTAAATTGATTAATTTCAGCACATATTAACGAAAAGTGATACCTGTCATTGGATTTCTTGATACTGATATAAATGTGAGATTTTATGTTGCACAACACAAAAATTACAACAATGCTGATAACAATCTGTAAAATCAGCTATGTTGTCAGTAGCTCAATATAATTAAACCCTTAGAATGAGTAGGCTAGCTGTTATATTTTCTAGGAAGATAAATGTCTATATTCATGTCACATTGTTTATGTAATTACATCATTAGTCTGAGCATGCACATACATCAAAAAGTATGATACTGAGTTGTAAATGTGCATTTTTGCATGAGCCTTAATTAGTTAAAGATGGATACATCTGACGATGGTGGTAATGCTCGGTAATGTAAGTAGACCAGTAAAACTGAAAGGGGAAATAAAATGATTCTACATAATAGCTGTTGACCTGTCCAAAGGTTCTGGCGCTCATTTTTGTTTAACTGAGTTACATGTCGAAGCATCAGGGGTCAGAGATCTTCGGCGATGTTTGTCCACTGAAGCATGTGCCACTTCAAACTTCCTCAGGGATCAATAATTACCAAACACCCTTTTCTATCCGCTGCGTACCATTGGTGGATAGCGAAGGACAAAGGCAACTAAAAAGCCAATGGGATGGGACAGCGAAGAGTTATCGCCCTCAAATCTGCAAGTACACAAGTACACAGTCTGCCTCTGCTTAGAGGGTCATTTGCAGTAAAGGTGAGAGCTGCCTTCAGTCTCCAGCCTGATCTCTGTCTCCAGGTGTGTTTTCAAGTGTGTGATAGAAAATACCCAACAGGATGTCTAATCTAAAGGAGATATGCAGTGGTTTACCTCTGGACCCTCTGCCACCTAACCGGGGAAGAGATCCTAGTGTGCCACATGCACCTATCCGGACCCCAAACCTCACAGCAGAGGAGGAGCGAGTGAGTAAATACACTAACAAAACATTTTTCATCACCTTTGCTACACAATCATTTGTAAATCTGTGATCCAGATATCCTACACCTTTAGATAAGATGACTTTTTTGTAGACAACAGCAAAAGTGTTGCATCGTTATTATTATTTTAAGCACACAACATACCTCATGGTGGACATTCACACTTCTTAAACAGAGGTGTAACTAATAACACTGATAACGGCTACATTCCATTTTATGCATGCTGTACTTACACACCTAAACGCAATGAAATGATTTCTGTGAAAAATAAAGTTCATAATGAAAGAAATTGTATGACCAATGGTATGGAACACGCTTAACATAGACTAGCTGGGCTGCAGTGAACCCAACCGTCAAAAAGACAAAGTAGGCTACTTGTGGACATCATCATGAAGTCATCTGTGATCTGACCGGGGCCGCAGCTCACTGTCAAGTCAGACAATTGCTCTGTGTCAGATGCGCAAGCACAATTGACATTATGCCATTGTGGACTGTTGTTGCAACACCACAGTTTGCTCATGGGCTGCCCTAAAAAATTGATTATTCTCTAAGGCTCTCAACTGATTGCCCAAACTGAGAGCAAAGGCTTCAGTCAATAATTAAGAGAGATACAGGGAGCAGTCCAGCTCTGACAGTATGTTAGGAAGAATAAAAAATAGTAAAACCTGTCTGTGTGATGATATTGAAACACTGATTTTCACTGCGTTCACTAACCTACTGTAAATGCCTCTTCCCTCTAGTTGGCGTTGAGAAATGCCCTGCGCTATTTCCCTCCCTCTCACCACGCAACACTTGCACCTGAATTTGCTCAGGAGCTGCGGCAGTACGGGCACATCTACATGTACCGCTTCTGCCCCACACTACACATGAGGTGAGGCAACCTGGTGACGAGAGCCCGACTGAGAACTGGGTTTTTGTTTAGTAGTTGAATTAACAGAGATCCGATGATACTGTATAGTGGCAGTTATTACTTTTTATACAAACAGTTTACATTTATGTTTATTCTTATTTTCGATTTTTTTTTATTCAATTGCTCAAGATAACACACCGACAGTAAAGCATGATCTACATGACAGAGCAAAAAATAAGAAAACACACGCACACACACACACACACACACACACACACACACACACACACACACACACACAGACAGACAAACAAACAAGTCTTATCTTCCAACAACTGTTGAAGATATACAGGTTACAGGGACATTACATTTACTCTTAAGGTGCTATTGTCGAGTTTCTTTTTCCCACCACAGTAGTGATGTCAGTTTCCTTCTGTTTCCTCAGAGCTTACCCCATAGATCAGTACCCCTGCCGCACACGTCAAGCAGCCTCTATAATGTTAATGATCATGAACAACCTGGACCCAGCAGTTGCTCAGGTGAGCTTCCTCCACACGTTGTATTGCCTTACCAAAGCTAAACTTGATGAATCCTTGAGCGAAGTTCTCTGTTTTATTTGTTGTATTTTTTTTCACAGTTTCCCCAGGAACTTGTCACCTACGGAGGCAACGGACAGGTGTTTAGTAACTGGGCCCAGGTCAGTCCTGAGTTTACTTGTGTTTTACTTGTGTCTGAGTCCGAAACAGATAGATACCAATGATTTGTGTGTGTTTGGGTGCAGTTCCGCCTGGTGATGCATTACCTCAGTGAGATGACAGAAGAACAAACTCTGGTCATGTACAGCGGTCATCCCATGGGCCTGTTCCCCAGCCTGCCTTCCTCGCCTCGTGCCATCATCACCAATGGCATGGTAACTGCACAACACACATCTGACTTAAGAAACTGATGCCTTGATACATGACAAGTTCACAAATTATTATTATTTTGCTTCACTCAGGTTATTCCAAATTACTCCTCCAGAGACCAGTATGAAAAGATGTTTGCTCTCGGCATATCGATGTAAGTTTTAAAAGTGCTTGTTGGTTTCTCCGTTATTTGTTATTAGGTCGAGTAATGATTATATAAGAAAATATATAATGTTAGGTGTGTGCCAGATGTAAACTGTGTACTTCTGCTGTGCATTTTCAGGTACGGTCAAATGACAGCAGGCAGCTACTGCTACATTGGCCCTCAGGGGATTGTGCATGGCACTATGGTATGTGAAATTAAGATTAAGATGTGCACACAGCACTTCAGTATTTCTTCATGCCAAATATGGATTACTTTAAGAAGATATAAGATTAAGGTGTCTCAAATAACAAACACAAACAAACACCTCAAGCCTTTGAACTTCACACACTTGAACTCCTCACAGCTCAAACATATGCAGCCTGTGCAGAAGAGTCACAAGCAGATGTTTCTTTTATTTTTAATTTTTTTATTATACTTTTATTTTATTTTTTTTCCCCTTTATTTTACCAGCAAGTCCCACTGAGATAAAAAAAAAATCTTTTACTTTTATTTGTATTAAGGGGTCACACATCTAAAAGGTTGAGAACCACTGCTAATAATCATGACAATTGCACACGTTGCCTGTAGGGTGTTGCCTCTGTGATATATTTTTTTATCTGTTTCCTTTTGGTTTTCTGTGCAGCTGACTGTGCTGAATGCCGGCCGGAGGTACCTGGGTTCTGGTGACTTGAGTGGGCGTGTCTTTGTGACCTCTGGCCTGGGGGGCATGAGTGGAGCTCAGGCTAAAGCTGCCGTTATTGCTGGCTGCATTGGCGTGATTGCAGAGGTCATTTCCCGTTAATACTGACTGCTGAGCAAGAATAGAGGAATTCCTGTGCGTCAATGTGATGGTGTGAAACTGTTTTGTGTGTAGGTAGATGAGGCTCCTCTTAGAAAGAGACATGAGCAGGGCTGGCTGATGGAGGTGACCAGCAACATTGAGCACTGCATTAAATGCATCAGGTAATAGACAGGAAAAGATTAATTATGAATGTCCAAATCATTATTAAAAAATGTCAATACATGCTTATTGCTGAGGGTTTGGATATGATAATCTTTAGTATGTGTGAATCTCTCTAATTCTAATAATTTTACACATTTAGGTAGTTTAATTACACCACTGTATCCTATTTTATAAGATCATATCTTTTGTATGTAAAATCTTCATTTGTAAAGCAGCTAGTAGCGATAGCTGTCAAAGAAATGTGGAATACAAAAGTATGACAGTATGAAGTGGATATACACAAATAAAGTACAAGTACCTCAAATTTGTACTTAGTTACATTCAACTGCTGCTACCAGGGCAGTTACTTGTTTACATGTTCAGCATCTTTGCTCCACATTCATGAAAATGATCCCACAGAAAAGACAAATGGATACATCCCATAACAGAACCTGTCTACAGTGACATGCAGTAATTGTTCTTATTTTGTGTCTGACAGAGAGGCCAAGAGATCCAAGACTCCCCTCAGTCTAGGTTACCATGGAAACATCGTAGACTTGTGGTGAGTAAGAGATGAAAACTCGACCTAGGTCTGCACCTGCTATACATTAAAGGAGCCACCATTTCTTACAAAATGCTGTGATCTTTGTCCTACTTGACTTTTACCTTTGTAACCAGGGAGAGGCTGCTGTTGGAGTATGAGAGGACAGGGGAGCTCCTGGTGGATCTGGGTTCAGACCAGACCTCCCTTCACAACCCATACAACGGAGGCTACTACCCAGTCCAGCTGAGCTTCCGCCAGGCAAACCAGCTTATGTCAACTGATCCTAACCGTTTCCGAACCATGGTCCAAGAAAGGTTAAATTAACAGACTTTCTTAGGGATATTTTCATGCAACATATTGGTCCATTATGTTAAAATAACCAGTGTTTTACATACTCTCACAGCCTCAGGCGACACATAAAGGCCATCAATAAGCTGTCCGATGCTGGTATGTTCTTCTGGGACTATGGCAATGCATTTCTCCTGGAAGCACAGAGAGCTGGTAAGTCATATACATCACACACAAAAAATATTATTATGATTCAGTCCATGTCGGAACAATAAGGAGAGTTGTGTTAATTGTTTTATGTAGGAGCAGAGGTAGAAAAGGTTGGCGGAGGAGCAACAGAATTTCGTTACCCTTCTTATGTGCAGCACATTATGGGGTGAGACATTTTCTTGTTTGTTAAATCTTGCACTGATCCTGTAATAGAAGTGTAGAAAACACAGACAAATAAACTGTGATCAAATCGGATATTTTCTTCCTGTGATGAATTACCAGTGATCTTGCTCTCCTTCTGTCTTTATTACCACAGGGACATTTTCTCTTTGGGCTTTGGCCCTTTTCGCTGGGTGTGCACATCTGGCAACCCCCAAGATCTTGCTGTAACAGATGACATTGCTGCTACTGTCCTGGAGGAAATTGGTGCCAATGTGACTGATCATATCAGGCAGCAGTACAATGACAACATCCGCTGGATCAGAGAGGCTGGAAAACACAAAATGGTCCTTAACTTTATGGGCAACTAATGCCTCTGATTTTCTCTCTCAATGCAAATCACACAAATGAAGAGATTGCTCTACAACGTCCTCTGTGTGTTTGTTTAGGTTGTTGGATCCCAAGCCAGAATCCTCTACTCTGACCAGAGGGGAAGAGTCTGCATTGCTTTGGCAATCAACCAGGCTATCGCTGATGGAAGAGTTTCAGTAAGTGTCTGCTGAGAAGATTCTGCGTGACATCAAGTTTTCAATAGCTTTTCAACAGTGTCTTTTGTTGCTTCTCTCGCTCAGGCTCCTGTGGTTATCAGCAGAGACCATCATGATGTTAGTGGCACAGACAGTCCCTTTAGAGAGACCTCTAACGTTTATGATGGCTCCGCCTTCTGTGCAGGTAGGTGCAGTTCACTACAGCTGTAAGCAACTCAGAGCTTTCCGAAGTTAAATCCTACTTATCGGTTTACTAAAGCAATTTGTCTATTGAAGATTAATTGATTTTGAACACCACCATAATAACATTGGACAAAATAAAAGAAGACATGTTGTGGAGTGTGATAGTTAAACTATCTCAAGCAAGTTTTAACTGTGTACAACTACATTTTCATATCACACTGATCCAATGATTGAAAACCAGAATCCGTCTCAAGTTACTACTGACATGAAAATTGGTGTGACTAAGACTTGTGGCTTCCAAGCTCCTTTACCTTTTCACAGCTTTTCTGTGTCTCTTCATTTATATAAACCAGAGAACTCACAATGTCTCCTCCTTACAGACATGGCAGTTCAGAACTTTGTTGGTGATGCATTCAGGGGCGCCACATGGGTAGCCCTGCACAACGGTGGTGGTGTTGGCTGGTAAGGCTTGCTGGGTATTGCCGTATTTAAATGTTCTTTATAATTCACCAAAGCCATTTGTTGATAACTCACCTATCACCATGTCATTGCATTTTTACTTTACCTGCAGGGGCGAGGTAATGAACGGAGGATTTGGTTTGCTGCTCGACGGCTCAGAGGAGGCAGCAAAGCGTGCCCGTCTGATGCTCAACTGGGATGTGTCCAATGGGGTGAGAGTGTAGAGAGAAGAGCAGCTTGTTTAATTCCAGCCTGGCTCATTATTTACAATCTGCTTAGACTGCAGATGAGTGCTGACTGGCACCAATGTGTGTGTTTCTGTGCGCTGCAGGTGGCTCGTCGCTGCTGGTCTGGAAACTCTAATGCCTATGAGACGATCCAGCGCACCATGGAGGAGCACAGGCAGCTGCGTGTCACCATGCCTTTTCCTGTTCAGGATGAGCACGTGCTGGACCGTGCCCTGCAGGGCTAGCCAGCACTAAAGCACAGGTTACCAGCCAGCTGCGGCCACACAGCAAAGGAATCCTGCAGCTGTAATCACTTCATCAGATGTGTGTGAATCAGGCCGTTGATGTAATACACTGCAGGCTACTAGAAATCATACACAGAGACAGATCAGCTCACTGCAAAACACTTGGCCAGTACTACCGTAGTTAATACATTAATGATGATAGTCTTACACAGGTCGTTTGCTGTGAATACACAGAATGCAAAATAGGTTACAATATTGTGCTGGTTTTAGTAATGTAATATGCAAAAATATATTCTTTATTTTTTGTGCTGAAAATTAAACTACGCCTATATAAATGACAACTCGCACCAGTATACGAGTCATTTGTGTGTAGATAGTGAACAAAAATGATTAGTTGATCAAAATGTCAGTCGGTCACCTTTTGTTTATTTTATGTTGTAGAAAAAGAAACATTTAGTTTTAAATATGAAACTGAATGGTACCAAAGCCAACATTTGGTCACAACTGACTGCACCAAAGCAACAGGTTGGATATTTGTCCTTAGATGCTTGATATTTCCCACTTTGATGTCTGGCCAGTTACATTTTTGGTAAATAAAGAGCATCTTTCCAAGCAGCCTGAGGCAGATAACTGACGAATCCACAGCATAAATTAAAAATTAAAATGTGTTATACTTGATGTCTGTTGTCACAGCATGGCTTAAAGGTGTTACGACTAAGAGAAACCACACGTGCTTCTAAAAGTACAAATGTGTTAATGAAACATCTGAAATGAAAAACAACAAATGAGGTATGATGATAAGCATGTCAGTGGTAGGCTACGGGAGGGCGGGGAGACCAGAGCCAATCAGAAAAGATACGAACAGGGCCAGCCCGAGTTGCCACAACATTCATCCCAGACTTACATAATCCCCTGTGATCGACTCTTACACTTCCAAGATTCTCACCACAAAGTTCCCACTCCCACGCCCCTGGACGTGGACCATGTCCTTACGACATTAATTTCTGGAGCTAACTTTGGAGCTCATCCGCTGGTACCCAGCCATGCGTCCTTACGCGTGGTTGTTCCTTTAAGAAAACTGAATGAAGAATGAATTTGAGCCGCTCCGCACTGACGTAAGGAAGCTGGAGAGGTTGGTGTCCCTGCAGCAAGAGGCAGATAACCGTGATGAGGACCAGGCTGGAGCACCAGGAATTTTTAACATTTTGTTTTCCCCTCAGCCGTCTAGTGTGTTTTATTATCCCTACACTTAAATCCGGTGTTTAGTTGGACTCCCTTGAATTTCTCTATGCCCATGTAACGGTTTCGATTTCGGACCTCCGCCCTTTTCTGTACACACCGGGGAGGTTTTATAGATTGCATACGACATTTTTCTCGTACAGTGTCCAAAGTGGGTCTAGATGTTCTGTCGGGAAGTACAAAAGTCCTCTGGACATTCGCGGATGGAATAAGATGACACTAGATATTTTCTGTGGCAGAGCCTGTTGACATTTGCTTTGCACCACTGTTGGCTTTTTTACATACAAAAAAAAAATGCATCATAACCAGGAGGAGCAGTCGGGAAATCCAATTATTGCGCAGCACGGGACAGCGCACCTCAGTGACTCCAGCAGCCTGGGCTGCGGCCTCACTGACCTCCAGCCACCTGCTTATTCTAAACTGGATTTTAGGAAAAATGCAGTGACAGATGACTATAAAATCACAGCTCAGGTCCTCGGCCTGGGAATCAATGGCAAAGTGCTGGAATGTTATTGCAAGACGACGGGAGAGAAATGTGCCCTAAAGGTGTGTGTGTGTGTGTGTGTGTGTGTGTGTGTGTGTGTGTGTGTGTGTGTGTGTGTGTGTGTGTGTGTGTGTGTGTGTGTGTGTGTGTGTGTGTGTCACAGTTTCACATCCAGTTTGTATGATTACTGGCAACTGAGCTACACCCAGACAGTGGATGTGTCTGGCAGACAGTGATGTGCTGTCTGGGATGTTTTAACACAGTTTCCACTCTGCTGTGATGATTGTTGTGTGGACAATGATCTGCTCTGTTAATACTTCACATACTCATCTGTGCCTGCGACATTTAACAAAAGTTAAAATCTAAACTTTTCACTCATCTATTCAACATTAAATATTCAGCGTATGTCATATTTACAGTCATTATGAAAGGCAACATGGGACATACATGTTGGGAGACATTCAGAGCTGGTAAGTGAACAGACTGAGCTGAGTGTAGGGTTGCAGCAAAGCCTTAAGAAAATACAAACAGGAAGAGCAGCCCCCTGAGTGCCTCCGCATGTTTCCTCTAGAATTTCCTTGGTGGTAACCCACAACCAAAAGGGTATCATAATATGTGAAGAGTGGTAATGCTGTGATTTATGCACAGAGGCTTTTATTGGAAAGTCATAAACATTCATATCTCAGCCTTCTTCCAACTCCAGTGCTCAAAATGCATTTTAACATCCATAAGGATTTTGACTGGGGTCTGCATGTCTGGGAAAATAGGATATACTCGTCCCATGTCTGTGATACCGTCTGTAGAGATAGAGCATGATGTTGCTAAATGCAGCCTTAAAGTCTTCACTCTTAATGTCCTCAGTGGAAATCACTGCCCAGCAAACAGCTGCAGATTAATGGCTTTAATAGTGGCCATTAACAGTGCTGTACACAGTGAGTGACTTCACACTGGGGCATGTGTCTGTGTGTTTATTGATTTCTTAGCAAAGATGTCCAAAAAAAAAAATCAATGAAGCTTGTCTAAGTTTAAACATTGTGATCTATGAATGTAGATGCAGGTGATGCATGTAGACATATTTAAATCAGAACCATTTTATTAACACGTGTTTTTGTTCTGCTTTATTCTGACTGTCTTTGGAGCAGATTCTGTATGATACTCCTAAAGCCCGACGGGAGGTAGAGCTGCACTGGCGGGTGTCTGGAGGTCCCCACATCGTCCCAATACTCAGCCTGTATGAGAACATGCACAAGGGGAAGAAATGCCTCCTCATCATAATGGAGTGGTGAGCATTATCAGCACTGTTATTTATTGTCTGCTTATTTTGAGCCTGTGGGGGAAACTCTGCGGTAAAACAGAATGTGTTTTCTATGATGTAGAACAGCTTTGTGTTAATTTGTGAATGTGAAAAAAGCATCTTTTTAAGCTGAACAGCAGAAAGACAGACTGAGACTGAATGAGGTCGGACGTCCCAAAGATGCCACAAACTGTATGTGAATAATGGAATAACTATTAGGATGCCATGTTCCTGTCCAGAGCTTGTATCTTAAACATCTGGATTGCATCTCGATCAACTTGACATCGATTTAAACTCACAACTGGTATAAGAATGCATCTCAAATAGATTTTGATAGACACTTTTAATACACACTAAAGAAGACAATACCCATTTCTGTTTGCATTCTCATAGTCTTGCATGCTCCTGTGGTAAATATGAGTTCAAAACGAGGTGATCTTTTTTCTTCTTCCACATTGTAGCCTGTGCTTTTAAATAAGATATCAGGGTCTTAAAATATTAAACTCTTTTTCTAAGTCAGTCAAAAATATGTTCTCCACACACACAACATCTTTTAATGCTAAGAGTTCACACGGCCTTTGAGAGAAGCCCATTTTATTGGAATCTGGAAACATTTTCTGATTCACAGCGACAGTATAAGCTGCACTTGATAAAGCTCATTTGTCTCATTTATCTTGAACAAAAACAAACTCTGAGCCCATGGAATCAAGCGTCACCTGATAACACACATCTTCTCATGTGCATCTTATGTGTTTGTATTAACTTTACAGTGTAAAACAAACATAGCAGCAATAATGTAAATTCTGCCTTTTGGCATGATTTTTCCTTTAATGCGCCCTTACTGCTTGAGTCATCTGAGTCTGCTGTGGCTCAGAAGACTGGACTCATCTGAACAGTAAATAGTGAGGCACAATGACTTGCTTTGTTATAAAACCATGATTGCAGTGGAGGACTGTGGTCATTTGCCAAGAGTCCCCGTCGCTGCCCCAGTTCTGATTCCTTTGTTAATCTTGTCTCAGTATGGAGGGAGGGGAGCTGTTCAGTCGCATTCAAGCTAGAGGGGACCAGGCCTTCACAGAGAGAGGTGAGCTGGAGTTCATGTTTTGCAGTTTAAGATCCATGAGTCTCTATATTGTATCCCGTACTGGTACATCTATGCCATCTCTGTCCATCAGAGGCATCAGAGATCATGCATGACATTGGCACTGCCATTGAGTACCTCCACCACATGGATATTGCTCACAGAGATGTTAAGGTACTGCTGCTGTCGAAATCATTTTTCACAGAGAACATAACACGAACACATTTCTAGCTAAATATATTGTTTTAAACCTCTAATTATTTTTTTATCTTCATAAAACAGCCAGAAAACCTGCTCTACACCACCAAGGAGAGTAACGCCACACTAAAACTGACCGACTTTGGCTTTGCGAAGGAGACGACACTGCACAACTCCCTCCAAACTCCCTGCTACACACCATATTATGTTGGTGAGTGTTTGCTGTCATGTGGTAGAAGGACTTGTGCCAATGGAATAAAAGTGTAAATACAGGAATAGACTTTGGATGTGGTCGCTGTCATCCACTCTCATGTTGTCCATGTGTGTCTGCATATTGACCTGCTTTTGTGCGAGTGTGTCTTTCATTCTCCACATCATTGTATTGGGGTTTTTTTCTGTATCTGTTTGTGCATTCAGCCCCAGAAGTGCTTGGGCCAGAGAAATATGACAAATCATGTGACATGTGGTCTTTGGGCGTAATCATGTACATTCTGTGAGTATCATGTGCGTCTATTAACTGTTGAAATGTTTGTAGCGACTCTGGTATACTGATTATTAATGTTCAACTCATTTGTTAAAGAAGACACAAAAGTAACATAGTTCTCTCTTCTGTTTTCTAGTCTGTGCGGGTTTCCTCCGTTCTACTCAAACACAGGTCAGGCCATCTCTCCGGGCATGAAGCAGAGGATCAGGTTGGGCCAGTATGAGTTCCCCAACCCTGAGTGGGCTGATGTCTCCGAGGAAGGTCAGACTTTGGACATAAAATATATGTCTAACAGCAAAAAGACAACTGTTAAAAAGCTGTGCAAAATTTAATTACAACTCAGCTCTCACTTTGTGTGAAATTAAGCAAAATAATGAAAGTCACGAATAAATATGATATGCTGTAACAACCTAATCGTGTGCCTAAAAACAGTGGGAAACAACCTGAACTTAGTCTCCATTTACAGTATCACAAATCTCCTATTCAGGTTACACTCAGTGGTCATGACCTCTGAGTGAGAGAGGTGATGACATTGATGTCATACCAAAGTTTGATTTATCACACAAACTATTTATCTAAGGTGTCTGAGCTGGGTCATTATTAAATATGATGTGGATGAAAATCTGTGACTTGATGTAAATAACAGGCAGGACATCTTGCTTCATTTTCACTTAATTGTCACCACTAAATTATTTGCTGGTATGAACTAATGTTGTTTGTCTTTTTGCTGTCTGGAGAAATGAAAATTCCTGTCACAGTATCTTCTTTTTCTCTGGCATGTGATTTTGATGATTGTTTGAATAGCTTTTACAACACAACACCGTCTGCAGCTTTGGTAATGGAAACAGTTTTTGCATTTTTGTCACTTATTCCCAGAACTGGTGTTTTGTTTCTAAAAACCTATTGGATCAAATGCTTGAGGTTGTTTTCTTTCACGTCCTCTGCAGCCAAACAGCTGATCATTCAGTTACTGAAGACAGACCCCAATGAAAGGATGACAATTGGACAGTTCATGAACCATCCCTGGATTAGTGTAAGTTAACACTTTATAAACCTTGTGGCTATAGGCCTATCATCGTCCACCTGTGTATTCATGGATGCTCGTGTATTTTATTCTGCAGCAGTCAATGGTGGTCCCTCCAACACCCCTTCACACCTCACGTGTTTTGACCGAGGACAAGGAGCTTTGGGAAGATGTGAAGGTGAGTCTCATTCTATTTAAATGCTAAGCTTCAGAATGTGACCACAAGGTGGCAGTAAAACATCAGGTTTACAGCACAAAGTGCCTCTGTCTTCCAACAGGAGGAAATGACCACTGCCCTCGCCACCTTGCGTGTGGACTACAGCCAGGTGAAGATCAAAGACCTGGACAGGTCCAACAACCCTCTGCTCAACAAGAGACGCAAGAGGCCCATGCCTGGAGGTCCCGATAGAGGAGAACAAGCTGATTGAGGAGACATTGATGGAGGAGTGGTGTGTAATAGTCACAGAGAAGTGACATTTTCTGAAGAAGATGGGTAAATTAATATTGCACAAAAGGAGCATAAAAGCCAGAGTGAGCTATTTTTTCCCGTCCGTCCGTCGTATTTTACTTACCTTTTCTCCTTTTTCATATCACTGCACTCAATAGTCTAATCAATGTCATTTATTTTGATTGGCACTACTCTTAACATTTTAAATAAAATTGTGTTTTTTATGTTTTACAGCTGTGTTGTCTCACTTTTATACACAAAATACATTTTACCCTGTTTATCTCACACAGAGAATCATTAGGCTAAACTTCTGTCTGTGAACTTTCTCAGTCCTTCAGGTCTATTGGGTGATTATTGCTGTCTGGTGAAAATCTGAGTAAACTGAGTGCATCTATTTGTGAGAAATTGGTTGTTCTTGCTGTAAAAAAAGAGAGACTGTGTGTGGAAGTCATAAAAGAAATTTATTATGCAAGATTACATCCAGCTAATACGACCTGAAGGGACTTTTGTGATAATTATGTGGGTATTGTGACATGCATCAAAGCACATTCAAACCATGAGAAGTTGAGGCGTTGACATGCCACTTGTACAGATCCATCAACCCTACCAGACATTTCCGTTCACTTGAAATTTCTTCCTCTGAGAGGCTCTGCAAGGCCATTAATGCTTCCTGCTGTATAATGTTAACTCATTGAGTTTTCGGCAGAAATTGTGTTCACTTTTTCACTAAAATGTTGAATAAACTGAGGAAAATGAAAACTCAAGAGCTTCAGAGAGAAACTTTGAGAAACTTTGGCACTTTGTAAGGATAGAACAAAATATCGATATGGAAATGTATTGTATTACTTACTATTGTGATATGTTATCCATACACTAGGGCCAAATATCAATATTTTTTATAACATACACGTACTCTAAATGCGTGCGTGCGTGCGTGCGTGCGTGTGTGCATGCGTGCCAAGACTGCCTTTTGTTTCATCTTAGTTGTCAAATTCTGTGAAACTGACGTCACAATGCAGTGAATAAATAGATTAGGGATATTTTTCCTCTTTACTTACTTGTATCACAGATGATTGCAATGTATTAAGTATCGCATTACTGTATCGTGATACCATTGTTATCTTGTGCAATGTATTGTGATTGTATCATATTGTGACACCCATCCCTAACACAATGTAAAAAATATTCCATTACAAATAAGTCTTGCATTTAAAATTTTAATGTATCTTAAAGTATCAAATTTAAAAGTATTCATTGGCCAGTTTGGTGATGCTAATTTTATCTATAATTTAATAATATATCATATTTGAAAGACTCATCATATCATTTCTATGTCAAACACAAATCTCAACTTAAAGAGTCAGTATTTCTCTCTGACATGTTGCAAAGTAGAAGTATAAAGCAGCATAAAATGGAAATACTCAAGTAAAGTACAAGTATGTCAAAACTTAACTGAAGTACTAATGTACTTTGTTATTTTCCACCACTGGTTGTAGATTGTATCTGTTTATCTTTTAAGAGTTTCATGCCAAGACAGCATCTGAGTTTAAACATGCAAGTTAAAAGGTGACATGCAGTACCTTTAAAAAGTCACATTTTGAATACTTATGATTAACAAATGTCTTCTTACCATCCTGACGCCTGATCCATTGACTGGACACTGTACCAACCTACACTATACTTCATTTGGTTACTGAAAGTCACAGTGTAGAATAAGTCAAATAAATTTGCATGGATACCTGCTGCACTGGAAATATATTCACAGCAGTTACAGTTAGGAGTGGGTTCAGTGGATACATTTAGAAAGGGTGAAAGAACGAGGTTAGAGAGAGTGGCACCGAACAGAGTAACAAGTGAAAACAAGGGTCTTGTGATGGCATCTAGTCTGATTCCTGGATGTCATGTAATGAGCGATCTTCTGACAATCCGGGAGAAAGGTATCCTCTTCACTCTGCTCGAACCTGAGTGTAAGGTCAGTTCAATTCACTACGGTCTCTTCAAATTAATGTCTTTAAAATACAACTTACTGATAATTCACCTCATTTTTTCTGTATTTATCTAAACCAGCCACATTAAACAGAGGTCTGCCATGAATGAACAGTTTAAGAACTAATGGAACTTAAATAAATAGCAATGCTGACAAAAAGTGAAAGTGTGTTATTCAGGTAAAATATTCTAAAAGTAATACTTTCATCTGTTAAGTTGAACATGTGGATGATAAAGTAGATTTAGTCTACAATCTACTGATACATGTCTCTCTGAATCATGATCCATTGCATTCAGTAATTCTGATTCTCGCTCTTGAGGTTGTTTTCATAATAGCAGTTATCAGAGGCTTGGTGGATGAATGGGATTTCTGTGCGGGCTGTTTTGTTTAGTCAGTATCAGATGTTTGTTTTTCCTGGAACTAGTACGTCATCTAAGACCAAGCGCTGCAAGATGTAAAAATGTACAGCAAGAATCCTTTTTCATGTGACACTTTTTAAACCCTAATAAAGAGCAAAGAAGTTAATAATAAAAACATAAAAGTGATACAAGCCAAAACAAAAGCAGAAAACGTAAAAGATAAAACTCAATCAACACTGTTAATACATAACAGCTGGTCCATAAACATTAACTGTCAGATGTCAATTCTGCAATGTAAAGGGCAACGTGATTTAGCCAAGAGTCCCTGTGAATCTGTAGGGTTTAAATCCTGTGCTATATTCATTCCCTAAATGATCAAAACAGTTTCTTGTTCTGTTAAGAAACTTAGAGGTTGCTGGTGTCTTTGGTAAATGTTAGGGAATACAGTTCACAATAAGACTCTTAGACTACAGAGAGTTGCATTCACATATGCCCTGACTGTCTGTGTCTTTGTGGTCATTTTACAGTGGATTTTTAACTGAATCATTAATAGACAAAAGATGGCATCCGTTTTGTGTTCTATGGGTGAGGATGATTTGCCTGTGATGAATAAAAACCTGTGTATAGAGATAAGACCTCAGCCAGTGAGGAGTCCTGACACCAACCTAGTTTCTCGAATGATATTATAAAATGGTAAGGTCTCCTGAAGAGAATTTAAGTGGAGCATCATCAGCCACTGAAAAGAGGTCACCGGTGTCTCTGAGGAGCAGCCTCTCTGCTATGCAGTGCTGTGAAACTAAACCAGAATGTCTCTGTGTCACAAAAATATGATCTGGTTCTGGAAAAAAAAAACTTTATAAAAGTCTTAATCTCATAGATTAAAATGGAAGTTTGGGTATGGATGTTGGATGTTGTTGTCTAAACTTTTTCTTAATGGAAGAAGTTGACCCTAGAAGGGAAGCTACCAGAGTCCAGAAAATAACTAACTGCAGATCAGTTGCACTAACACTGACCAAATACTACATATCTCTTTAATCTCTTCTTTTTTAGGGACTTTAAAGTTCCTGCACAAGCAGAAAAGAGGCTTCAGCTCAACACAGTAGAAATATTCTTGCAAGGGACTTTGTTATAGATAAATACTGGGGCCTTCACATTTTTATGCTTTATTTATATGGGAAGCATGTAGAGGATGTGCTTTGTGATACATATGAACAAGAGATGATTTATTATATTTAAATTTTAAAAAATGAATATGATTAATTGTTTATTTCAGCTGATCAAAACTACAGTGGCACAGGTACTAGAGGCCAAAGAGCCCCAGCATGAGAGTCCAGGCTGGCATCGTTTAGGTTGTGGTGTGGTGTGTCTCATTGAGGATGAGTCTGTTCACTCATACTTTCTGCGTCTCTACTGTGTCAAGGTAAGAGGAACTGCAGAACTGTTCAGACACACGCCACACAGTCACATCAGCACACATACTGAAACATGTATACCACTTCCTGTATTTTTTGCTTCATATAGGTATGATTTCAGCTGTGCACATAGGACAGCTTGTACTGTTTCCATCAATTTGCTATTTCCTTTGGTAACAATAGAGTGTCTTATAATGATGGGTGTGTCTGTACTTTTCCTTATGTAACTACTGTAATAGTTGTTGCCTTTTTTCCCTTCCTTTTGTACTTGCCCTATCTTTTCTTAAACATAGCGTGCCAAGTTACTGTGGGAGCAGGAGTTGTATATCCCATTCAAGTACACTGCAAATTGCACATTCTTCCACACTTTCCCTGCAGATGTAAGTGACCCTGTGTTAAAGCGTCAGTGCCTGTAATATGTCTTATCACAGTTTTTTACTGGTTTATGGTGGATTTACTTTATTTTGCACAGGGCCACCAGATAGGCTTCAACTTTGCAAATGAGACAGAAGCAGAGGAATTCAATCTTTCAGTAAACGCTGTCCAAAGAAAACAAGGTGAGAGTAACAACAAAAAGATGACTCTTATGTATCAACACATAAAACGTGTGTTGGCTCTCTCCACATGAAAAGCAGACCAATGGTTGAACCTATTATTCTGTCTCACCTCTTCCATTTGCAGAAAAGATTACCGACACGATTCAGATGGCAAACACTGAAACAATGGACCCGCCAAATTCAAGGTAAGAACAATATTACCACTTTACAGATGCAAAATGGAGGAAAATGTAGTAGATTAAAGGGATGGTTCACTGTTTATTTATCTTCTCTGAAGAATGAGACCAGTGGAACATTTGGATAGGGAGGAGCATTTCCCCGTGGACGCACTATGCAACATAGTTCCACCAGCAACCAGTTCAGTGAGTCAAAACATGCACATAAAACACTAATACATGAGCCAAATGAAATCAAACACAGACATACTAAAATAAGTCTATAATCAGTCTCCTTCTGTTCCATTTCTACTTGGTGAAGTTTAAGGATCTGGACCCCGCCATGAGACGGCTGTTGATGCAGGCAAAACTCCCTGTGGAAGAGTTGAAAGACAAAGACATTGCTGAGGCTGTTGACTGCATCATAAACAAATTTGGAGGACTAAAGGCTATACAGAGGGAGTTGAGGAACAAAGGTACTATATCTTTAAAATGTAGTGTATATATATATATATATATACTGTATATATATATATTTAAAGGCTCTTTAAAGATAAAATTTTGGCATGTGTGACAGGCCCAGTCTCTCAGACATTGCCANGAGACGGCTGTTGATGCAGGCAAAACTCCCTGTGGAAGAGTTGAAAGACAAAGACATTGCTGAGGCTGTTGACTGCATCATAAACAAATTTGGAGGACTAAAGGCTATACAGAGGGAGTTGAGGAACAAAGGTACTATATCTTTAAAATGTAGTTTATGTATATATATATATATATATACTGTATATATATATATTTAAAGGCTCTTTAAAGATAAAATTTTGGCATGTGTGACAGGCCCAGTCTCTCAGACATTGCCAAGAGCTGCAGGGGCATCCATCTCCATTGCTCTGAAGGAAAGGCCTTTGCCTCCAGTCCCCTCCATCAAAGGCAACACCACCTACCAGCAGACACCACAGGGCACAAAGAGAGTGGACCAGCTTCAGATTCCTCCTCCTCCACCTGCTCCAGCTGTTCCAGAAAGGATGAGAAAGAGTGCAAGTTTCAAACATGTAAGAGGACCAGGATGCGTGTTGTTTCAGTTCTGTTCTATCTGTTTGATTATGTAAAATGTGTGGCCTGATTGAGCCTAATTTTTCTTTTATTAGATGGGCTCCTTAGCAGATCCAGAAAGAGGTGATCTTGTCCTGGCTGCGTTGAGAAAATTGTTCATACAAAAGCAGCTGGTCCAGCAAAACACAAGTACAAACGAAAGTCAAATGGAACCAGATGGGATCTGCTCCTTTAAGAAGCCTTGATTTTTAACTATGATACATATATTTAAGATTTGTGATACTTGAGATGCTGCTTTTTCTCTCACACACCATCGCTGGATTAACCTGCCATGATAGCTACTAACCTTTTATTCGCAGTGCACACAGCAGACTGTAAATGGAAACTTTATTTTTGACAAGATAATCAAAAAAACGATAATAACATTACCTGGCTGGACTGTATTTATCCCTGTTTGCACAATTGTACGCAGCATCTTGCCACCTCAACAAATACACACAATAAAGACGTTAATTAGTAGCACAGAGATAAAAAGGGTGAATATTGGAATTCTACATTTGAGAGGTGGCCAGATGTTGCTCTATAACTGCTGGATGTGTAAATAAGCAACTGTTTTTTCATGAAAACTAAAGAGATGATACTTAAATGTTGTGTTCAAGATTGGTTTCTGCTTCAAAGTGGTGAAACTTCTCTAGATTTGCAATTAATGAATTATCAAAAACTGGGGGTTTCTGAGGCCCCTTGAGGTCCGGTGTCCAGGGGCAGGTGGTGCTCTCTCTGGTGCATGCGACTGATATGATAAACATACAAAAAGGCTTAAAGCACCTGTAGGCGGGGATAGAGTTAAAGACAGAGTTACACGAGTACAACTAAACAATAAAATGTGGATGTGCTCGTACGCGCGTATGGATCCGACAATGCGCGTGCCTCCATCTCCCTCACTTCATTCATTGCTTCACCCTGTGCTGCTGTGGAGACTCACGCTTCCAAACACGCTGGGAAGAAAATACTTTAAACCGGGACCATGAGGGGCTCCTGCTGCCCGAGAAACGCGCGGGACAGGGCAGGTAGGGCGCAAACTCCAGCTGAGTCCTTACTTTTGTTTTTCTTATAATTTAAGACACTCTTTGCAGTGAGTGCTACGGAGCAGCTGGGCTAGCAGGCGGATGAAGTAAACAAGTCTGTGTCACGTAGGCATCACAGGCTTCAGAGCTGACAGGGCTCTCTACCGAGGAGAGGCGGGACAGACTGCGACACACATTTGGGAAAGACTGGCTATTTCAGGTTTCGTGTGACGAAGAAATAGTTTGTTACTTTGCAGATATCAGAGATGCTTTGGTAGCTAGCATCTTCCTGTCTGCTGCTTAGCCTGACTGCAACGGCTGGTAAGCTAGCCAGTAAGCTAGCTGGTGGATTGACAGTTTTGAGGATGTACTAAACACGATTGTCTGTTTCCAAAACATTATGTCAGTCATTGTAACGTCGTGTCAAATATCCTCCAAACAGATCTGCTTTAGATTGTATGTCCCATCTGTTTATGTTGTGACTGAAGAACACTTGAGAAATTTCTGGAGTTAGTGATTATGTGGGATTTTACAAAGGTAATGTCAGGGCACACTGTCAGACCATACTGTGTGGCAGCAGGAGTGAGTTAAACTTGTGATCAGATGGCCATCTTTACATACCTTGACCTCCAGGCTTATTTCACTTTAACTTTTTTATTACTCCAGGGAAACCCTGGTTCTCCCTGCGGCTCTTCCAACATGATTCTTGGGCATCATTAATTTAGAAGGTCCCCATGTGGCTCACTCAGTGGTTAAAAAATTAAATACAACCACAATTTTGACAGACTTGCCTTAAATGCCTTTTTTTATTATCTGTGTCTTTTATCTGGTTGTCATAGTGATTCTTGTAGCCACAAAATGTGTCTCTCCCAAAGATTAATTTTAATGAATTATAAGTAACATGTTTCCTGAAAGCACCTGCAGTAAAGTCTGCTTCATTTTTACATAACATGGGTAGCAGTGGCTTTGGACAGTGACAGATGGAGGACAGATTTCACCGTTAATTTGGGACAGGTGCTGCCTCAACTCCTCTGTTTTTACGTTTGCATGTTGTCACACCCGGCCATATACATTTTTCCTGTTGTTGAAGTTGCTCGATGAATACAATGCATGCTAAAAGAAGCATTATGTGCACAAGTGGCATCTGAACCGCTGCTAATACTATGGCCTATATAATCCAAAGACTCAGTTATTATAAGAATAGACTATTATGTAATTCTATTAGTCATGTAGCCTGGAGGTTAACTATTATGTTACTGTGCTGTCATGTTGATGATCACCATGCTGAGAGGACAAACTGTGACAGCTTTGTATCCACAGGGAAGGATTCTCTGCTGTTCCTTGTACGAATATGGTCACAGTGGTTTAAATGTCTGCAGCCCAAGCTGCTGTGGCAGATGTACGAGGGATGAACAGAGCTCAGGCTGTGTCAATGAGTAGGAGATGGGCTCTGTTGGCTGTCTGTCTGCCTACACACAGAGAGGCGGGGCTGAGCAGAAAAACAGGAAAAACCGCTAAACAAATATAAACAGCAGCTTTGTATTTTACTTATTCTTACTTGTGATTCCTATTGTTTATATGCATATTAAACTGCTCCCAATGTTAAGAATAATAAAAATGTGATGCTACAAATAGACTCTAACAACATCGAGATGGCTGTGTGTTGAGACTGCCCACATAGCCTGTATGTGTTCATAACTGCAGCGTGAGAGAAATATGCTTCAGCTGGTCCAGCAGATCCAACACATATTATATCCCTATATGTGCATTTCACAGTGGCCGTACTATATCCCACAGGATATTCATCTTGTTGCTTGAGAGGCTTCCTCAGACGCTGCCAGCTGCAGTCAGTCTTCCTTTTCTTTCTTTCAATCTCTTTATTATGCTCAATAATAGAATTTTTTTCTGCCCATGTCTCTGTCACATCCCTACTCTGAATAATACAATAAATCAAATAAATCTGTCGTTCCCATCCTTATTCACGGACTGCCCCCCTTCCAGCTGCGCCGCCTTCCCTTACTGTGTCTGCTCTCTATCTAGGGGAAAGTTCACCCGCTCACTCAGAATCTCATTATAGGCATTGGGCAGAGCTGTAGCTGTGTATGTGTAATGCTCCTGCAGTAAGTGTGCGCCTGCTCAGTGCAGTGATCTGGCTGTTATTTTGCATCTGTTAGCGTTCAGGTGCTGGGATGTTAGTTTGATTTCTGTTATTTATGTCTATGCTTGCAAATGTAGCAACATAATCTCTGCAATGGAGATATGAATATTGCTTGTTCAGGCTCAGACAAAACCGCTCCGTCTGTCACATGTAATACAATAAGAACCTAAAAACTGATTCTGGATTACGCTATAAACAAATTAGTGATGAAAAGATAAATGGGTTGATCATCATTAATCAACACAATTAACTGCCAACGTATCTGATGATCATGTATTTATTTAAGTCCTTTGTCAAGCAAAAATGCTGAAATACTCTGTAGCTTATCCAACATGAGGATGTGCTGATTTTCTTTGGCTTATTGTAAATTTCATTTTCATTGAATGTAGAGATGATTCATAAAATTCTATTTTGTCTTTTTAATTTGCATTTTTGATAGGCTTTTTATTGTTTGGCTTCATTATGATAAAGGAAAAGACTTATATCATTTGACTCACATCATGTTTTGAAATCAATCAGATTTGTAAGACATATTGCACATTTATCTAGTTTTAACTGCTCTATCAATTAATTTATCTACTTTCTTCTGTTTCTTTCTCAAGTTCTTATTTATTGTTTTTGATTGATTGATTGAATTTTTTTTCATATGTTATCACTAGATGGCACTGTTGCACTGTTTGTAGATAATGCTTGATTTCAGGAATGTTGAGGACAAAAAACTTAAACTAAAATGCCAGCACGAAATGTGCTGTAATATTTACTTTGATGATGTAAAGAACACAAAATAGACACTTATACGTCAGTAGTTCTGCACTTTTCAAAATTATTTACAATATATGTATTATACTGTAAGTAACATCAACGGTAATATCTATATTATAAAAACTAATATCAATAATAATATCAATCGACACATCAACAAAAATAATAGCAATAACATCATTAAATATCAAAATAATAACAATATCAATAATACTATACTATCAAAATAATATCAGTATACAGTGATCAAGTAATAGCAGTATTAATAATAAACTAAATCATAACATCAGTAATAATACTATTATTCATAATATCAACAATAATAGTTACACTAATATCAATTATAATAATATCAACAATAATACTATTATTAATATCAACAACTACCAAATACCAATGGATATGCCAGATACTGTAGCTATATCTGGGCAAGTGTGCTACTTGTGTGCTACTAATACAACATTGTGAGCGGCACAGGTTAAATTTGAGCAAGGTTAAGTGGGTTTCAGTGATATCAGCTCAAGTTCAAGTATCTGCTCATATACAGTATATTTCAATGGTTCAAGCATTTCAAGAATTAACATAAATGTGATGTTTTAAACAGGAAAACTGATTCCTAATCAACAGTCTGTTCATCAAAAGATAAAAGTCAAATTAAATTAAATTAAAAAAGAAAGAAAGAATACAATTCACACTCACACTGCACATTAAAAAAATGCTTTGGCTGCACTAATAATCCCTCCAGTAATCAGAAAAGATCTTAAAACAGTTTAACATCAGTTTGAACTCAATGGCTTGCAGAGCCTAATACTGCCATCTATTGGGCATTTAGACAAACACACCACATTAAATGAATGTGACAAATATGATCCTGTACACAAGTTAAATTTTTTCTCAATCATTAGTTATCAGAGTAATTTCTCCTCATCCAGATGCATCTTTCTCTTCATTGCATTGTCTATTCCACTGCATTCCAAACGTCTGGCCTTTAAAAGCAAGTACACAACGCCATCTGGTGTCACATCCTTGACACTACATAAAGTCTTGTCAAGGCAGAGAAACAACAAAACAGGCTTCCAGACAAATCAGGATATTGTTAAGTTGGCATATTTCCACCATTATTTGAAAGTGAAACTTGAACCAGTTGTATATAGGTATTCGCTGATGAGCGCCTCTGTTCTGCATTTTCTTTTCTTGTCTGTTGCAGAGAGAAAAACAGAGGGAAAAAAATGAATTCAAAGAAAACATTTATGCTTTAACTGAACATGAGACCTCACAGAAAACTAATAGACAAAACTAGTCAATCAACAGAAAATGAATCAACAACAATTTTGATGAAGTAATAAATCGAGCAAAAAATGCCAAACATTTGAATTGTTTTGCTTTTATATGTGAGGGTTTGGTTCCTCTGTGTATACCAGTCTAAATTGAATATCTCAATATCTTTATGGCTGCAACTATCACTACCAATGAATCTGCAAATTATTTTCTTGATTACCCTTTCTTGATTAACATTATGATACAAAACATCAGGATATAGTGAAATATGCCCATTATAATTTCTCAGATAAAAAGGTGAGTTTCAGATGCCTAGTTTTTTCCCTATTAAAGTCCAAAACCCAAAGACATTAAATATACAATGATGTTAAACTGAGAAAAGTTGCAAATCCTCACAATAGAGAAGCTCAAACTAGTGTTTTTTTTTTTTTTTTTAAATAACTGAATCAGTTAATCGGTTATAAAAACAACTGGTGATTCATTTTCTTTCGATTGACAAGTTGGTTAGTCAACTTATCCCTCCAGCTCAAGACATTTTATTTGTTATATGGACCAAACAGGAAACACACAATCAGAAAAATAATATCAGTGACAATAATTGTTAGCAGGAGTCCTAAGTTGATATTTTTAACTAATGCTAGATTTCACTGTTTTGTCACATGGCTGTTTTCCTTTAAAATAATACTAAAATGAATGCCACTAATAATACATTCAATAATAATGGCACCAAAGTTTAAGAACAATAGCAGCTGATAGACAGGATGTGCTGTATGTATGTGTGTGTATCTGATGTTGGAGTTGTTGATGACTTTTGCCATAAGACGGATGCGTGGCCGTGACTCTGAGAGGCCCGTGACTGGGTCGTGCAAAACTTGAGGCAATGCTAGTTTTCATGATGATGTTTATGAGGTACCAGCAGTCAGCACGCCCGCCTTATCCCTGGTCCTCCTCTCCCATTGGCTGCTGGGGCTGTCGTCTGTTCTCTGATTGGTGGAGTTGTCAGCTGCATTCACTGCCCATGTGTGCTGCGCATGAACAGCTGAACGCTTGTTTTTCTTCTAACGTCTGCTTTTCACCGCTGCACCCCACTCACTTCACTAGTCATTACGGTAACGTTTCGTTCTTAGAAAAGGAGGATTTGGACGTCTGCACATGCTCTGGAAATCTTTGTGAAAACATTTGGGATAGGATTCAAGGAATTTTACTTGAAATATCCAAGCACAGGACGTTCAGTAAAATGTAAAGCATAAGAAGAATATCTAATTGATAACAAATACAACTAAATGTGCAGTTTAAAGATAACAAAACCTGCTTAAACCTATATTCCCAAATACCCATCTTTCTGTGAGTAATAGTACATTTGTTTATATGAAGGCTCAGTTTACTTATGAGAGAGAAATTTGTGTTTCTTTTTAAGTGGACTCAACCATCTCTATGGACTAGACGATTTCCATTTTATTTCTAAGCTCTGAAGAAGCAAGTAAGCACACCTTGACTTAAAATTATCTGGTGAAACAAAGTTATATTTATCTTTAGGTAAATATGCTATTAGTGTTTGACATATTTGAACAACACGTCTGAAATGCTGTTCAAGTAACAGGACATCCTGCTACTTGTATTTTTCTCCCTTAATCTGTCTTGCGTACTGTCTCCAGTCATTACGGTAATGGGAAGCCGGTGTTTCTCGGCTGATACCCCCCCTCGGTTGCTGAATCAGACTGCCAGGGCGACAGCCCACCGCCTCAGTTTGTTGTGAGGAGTGTAACATCACTGATCCACTATCGAGTATGTTAGACAACGAAGACTTTAAGTTGGAGACTTCCCCGCGGGAGCTCACCCAGAACCCGCTCAGGAAAATTTGGATGCCTTGCAGAAACGGGCACATAGCTCAGAGACGGGGTAAGATGCAGCCGGCAAGTGCCGCAAAGGATGTGACGGGGAAGTGATGTTGTGTGCATCTGCTAAGATTCTTTCGTTTGTTTTTTGAATGCATGTTTTCCTGAGCCAAGTCTGTCTCTGAACCTGTAGATAATACGTTTTGAGACATTTAGGCAGGGCTGTTTGAGATGTTGCGCACTGACAAAGTGCTGAATATTCTTATCTTTTTGTTTTTGAAGTGTTGCATCATGCTGAGCTTGTCTAGTTCATTTTTTACACACATAAATCTGAATCACGCTTGGTAGAAATAATTGTATCCTCGCGGAATTGGATGACACACACATGATCCAAATGCATCAATTTACCCATGACCATCTCTAACATCCAACATGTCTGATGTTGTTAGTGTTAGTTTGAGCGTGAGCAGCTGTTTTCCATTTCTGCCAGTTGCTCTCAGTCTGGTTTTCTCTCTCTGCAGGTCGTCTTATTTTTGCTGAGTCAAGCTCCGTCTGTTTCAAGCTGTTTTCCTTTTAAACCAAGCCGCAGCTAGTCCAGTCCTGTAGCTGGCACTAAACACTTATCCTCTTCAATTTAATCTCTAATTATTTCGCACCTCAGTAATATCACTGCAAGAGTCTCTTTAGACATTAATCCAAAATCCCTTGTTCCATATCATGAGGGAGTGTCTCAGTGAACATGAGGAGGATATCTGAAGAAGTGCTTCTTTTTGTTTACTTTTCAAGTAATGTATTTAAAATGACAGTTTTAATTATAAGCTATATTTTAAGGTAACTAACAAAAAAAAGAAATTTGGTGAAATAATTTGTGGCTGCAGAATCTAAAATGCTGTCATTCCTGTGGCATTCATGAATAATAATAGAGTAAACCCAGAAAAAGCATTATAATTTTTGTAAAAAATTTGAAAATATAAATAATAGATAGATATAAATTACTAGTTTAAAGAAAGAAAAGAAAATTCAAGATTGTTTTTTTGTAATATTTGTCAAGTAATTATCAGCAGAGGTGCAACAACATCACTGTCAACAAACATGAGAGATTTCTAAAAAAAAAAAAAAAAAAAAATGTTGGAGCCCAGTAAAGTGGGCTGAATTGTAGTCTGGATTGTAGTTACTGGTACTTACAGGAGACAGTAGAGAGCAAAACTGACCTTTGTTGTTCCACAGCATCATGCTGTCCTTAATTAACCAGCATGTGCCTCTGGCCAGCTTTTTCAGAATTGACAAAATGAAGACCTCACTTTCTCCCGCTGTCTACCTGCTCATTTCCAACTTTGTTTTCAGTATTTCTGTTTGTCCATTTGCCATTCTATATCTTTTCTCAGTCTCATTGAGAGCTTTTTCAGGGTCTGTTTCAGTTGTTGTAGTATTAATATCTCCTCTCTCTCTGTCTGGCAAGGATTTCATATAGTAATGTGTATCACTGTTACATAGAGTGAGCTGAAATCTTTGAAAAGTTGTCTCTTTCCACTTGAAGTGTAACCAGATGTTCTGTGTTTTCATATCAAGAAGTGTTCTTTGCTGGAATTCCTGTTCATGTGTTTCATGTACATTAGGGCGTGAACAGCTCATGGCTTCTTGCTAATTGGGTGTTTAGATCTGATTCTTGTTAGCCAGAGAGCCAATCGCATTTTACTTTATTCTTGAAAGCATTAAAACAGTAAATCTTATTTTTCCTTGAGGGAGACTTTTTCTTCTGACTTGTGATATGGTGATATGATTTGTTTTTATTGTATACAATATCTTCAATCATCAGTGTTTTGTGTGTTTTTTTGTGTGTGCTCAGTGTTTTGCAGGCAATTTCCACCACAAAGCTAAATGTTTCTCTGCCTCTTCTTTTCTTTCAGTATGTATGACAAATTGCCCGACCCTGATTGTGACTGTAGGACTTCCAGCCCGAGGGAAGACTTACATTTCAAAGAAACTCACTCGCTACCTAAACTGGATAGGTGTGCCAACCAAAGGTACGAGCTGCACTCCTCAACACACACACACACACACACACACACACACACACACACACACACACACACACACACACACACAGATATGTACATATTACTTTACAATAAAAATGAGCTATGCTCTATTGTTACACATACAATATGTCTATCTGTCACAGAGTTCAATGTCGGCCAGTATCGAAGAGAATGTCTAAAGATCTACAAGTCCTTTGAGTTTTTCCGTCCAGATAATGAAGAAGGCTTAAAAATCAGACGGTAAGTCTACACTGATTTCTCTAGCAGTCTACTTTTGTCATGGAAGGGGAGGTTGGACTGAAAACATGCAGACTGGTGGCTCTACACAGTAATTATAAAATACTATAGTACTATTTCCTACAGTCTTGTAGGTGTATGATACTGAATACAATACTAGAACAGTATTTAAAAAATGGCAAATTTTAAGTGAGCATGAGCTGAATTAAATGTTTGTAAGGTTGTTCTACCAGTCTATAGATCTGATGATAACAAACTATATTTCTGTAAGTAAGTCTGTACACCATTTAAGCAAAATTAGGTTTTTAGGCCAATGATGATGCCCAAATTGTCTGTTTGCATTTTTTTAATGCTGTGGATGTTCACAAAAGACATTTCAGGAGCTATCTATTTTATTTTCACTTCCTTAAAAGTGGTTTTATATAATTGTGTTAAAGGTTCTGTAATCGAGATTTAAAACAATAATGTAGTGGCCAACAATGATGTTAAGATAAAGAAGAGTAATGGCGTTCTGAACAGTGAAAAAAGTAATCCCCCCTCTATATGTGTCGTAATCTTAACTTCTCTGTACTTTGTCTTGATATCCGGTTAGTTCATGTGAGTCCCTCCCAGTTAAACTGTTGGCCCTCCCTATGTTTGTAGAGACGCAGAGACTGCCCACAGGCAAGATGCCACCATTTGGTAGGCAGTGTTCAGGTGAAAGCGATCTTCCAGAATTTCCTCCACTTAAGAAACAATGTTTTTTGGCTAAAAAGGCCCCCGAAAAAGAAAGAGATAAGACCAGAGCATAGGCAGTCATGAGGACTACCAGCTCAAATCTTGGTCAGCTGGTGCATTGTCAGAACATCTATAAACTTTTTTAAGTTTTTACTGGCTCCATCAGTGTCTTTACCAGTTCCATCAGTGTCACTCATGCGGCCGGTCCTGGCGGATAAATCCATAGCTGGATTTCTTTCCAGCGTGGAGCCAATACTGATCTGTCTTTTCTGAGATGGAGAGCCATACGCGTAGCTAAAGGGCTCAAGCTTGACTCAGAACTGGCTTTTCTTCTCCTCAATGCGTTAGTGATTAGTGAGTGGCATGATAACGTAAGCTAAATTGCTGTTACCGATATTATGAGCTTGTTCTGCAAATGTTGCTATTGCCAGCAGGCTTACTGTTAACATTGCTGTGGAGCATATCATGACGATACTAACATGGGCTTATGGTTGTGGCTGACTTGTTTTTTATTAGGCTCTGGTGTACCAAGGGTAACTTTATTTAGTTGTGCTTCTTATTGTGTGTGTAGTGGTTGCTTTCACTGGGCTTCATAACACCTTGCTGAATGAGAATGTGAATGGAGGCCGGAGGTGTGGCCAACAAAGCATTTGTTTTGGTCTGAGATCCTGGTGGTATAGTGCAACATCTAGTGCCAGTGATGATCGTTTACAGAACCTTTTAAATTGGAGGTCTGGATAAAGTCTGTCTGTCTGGGGGTTGTCTGAATGGGAAATAGGCCTTTCAAAATGGGGAAGAGTGGCAAAATTGCACAAAAGAAACCTGATCATTAATGTTTGTTTGAAGTTCATTTGGCCTTCATAAGAAGTGTTAATTCTTAAACATTATTTTTCCTATATTTCTTGTCATCAGTGAGGGTCTGTTTATCTTGTTGTTTTTCTTGTTGGTAGCAGCATGTCTACAGTACATCTTTGAAGAACTTCTAACTGTTCTAAGCACTATAATTTTGGTAAACCATTGTTACTTTAAGCCTGTGTCTTAAAAATTTTCACACATTGTAACAGAAGGGTTTGGGATAATTATAGCTTGGCATTATGAAAATTCAACAGTAGGAGTAGCAACTTTGTAAACAAACTCTATCTGTCTCCATGTTCTTCTTGGCTGTAGTAGACTGACTGTCTGCTGTCTTTCAACAGTCAGTGTGCGATGGCAGCACTCAATGATGTTCGGCAGTACCTGAGTGTTGAAGGAGGACAGGTGGCGGTGAGTACTTGATACTGTCTCAGAAGTCTGCTTGACAAATAAATAATAGATTAAATACCATATGTATATGTCAGGGCTACATAAGAAGTATCTATTCCTTTTGTTTCAGGTCTTTGATGCCACAAATACAACAAGAGAAAGAAGAGGTACCATCGTCAAGTTCGCTGAGCAGAATGGGTTCAAGGTATGTTAACCATTGAATCAGTCTTCTTTTTTGATGACCTACAAGTTTAATATACTCTCTTGTCAATGCAGGTGTTTTTTGTGGAGTCTGTGTGTGAGGACCCAGATGTTATTGCACAAAATATAGTGGTAAGCATTATCTTATTTTCTATCCAGTGTAAATAATTAAAGTGGTTCTGCATACTGTAAGTGATACTTTTATAACAAACTGACGAATCTATTCATCCTTGTGTATTTTAAAATAATCGATAATCGATTTGAGCCATATGTGTTCTCACTCTTATGTTGAGAGTGAGATGAGAATGAATACCATCAAGGGCGTAGGTTTGGTCTCAACATTGGTAGGGACGCAACAACCCCACCACCCCTCCAAAACAAAGAGATTGGCTTTCTAATGCTGTAAAGTTAATGGTTTATTAACATATAAGATAAGATCAGCAAATGTAGTAAACGCACTTGTTTAATTTCCATATATGAAATATAAGTACATTTGTATTTAAATTATAGGCTATATAGGTTTTACAAATTACATATGAAACCTGTTTAGAAATTGAAACAATATCATATATTGACATATATGTCTAGCTAATACAAACATGTATTTTAATGTCTGTTTATATTATAGACATATTTTACATTTATATATTATATTATTATTACGGAAATCAAAAACAAACATATAGAATTTAAATAAACATGTTGTTTTAATAAAGTTGCATTTCAATATGAGTATTTCATATGTTATAAACTTATATCTTCATTATATCCAGAGGATGTATATGTGTCATAATAATATATCTTCTTGTAAGTAACACATATAGTAACATCACTCTTGCGATAGGGACATATATGTCATATATATGTTCTGAGTCATAGTATACTAAGGCATAAGTTGTACTATAGTAAGACATAAAAAGTCATAATATAATAAGGCATAAAAACATCATAGTATAATAAGGCATGAAAACGTCAAGAATGTCATGGTATAGTAAGACATAAAATGTCATTAAACAATCATAGTATAGTAAGGCATAAAAGGTCATATAAACGTCATAGTATGGTAAGGCATAAAACAACATAGTATAGTAAGGTATAAAAATGCCAAAAAACATCATAGTATAGTAAAGTATAAAAATGCCAAAAAACATCATAGTATAGTATGACATAAAACCTCAAAAAAACATCATAGTATATTAATGCATAAAAGGTCATATAAACGTCATAGTATGGTAAGGAATAAAAGGATACAGTATAGTAAGGCATAAAAATATCATAAAACAACATAGTATAGTAAGGCATAAAAATGCAAAAAAACGTCATAGTATAGTATGGCATAAAACCTCAAAAAAACATCATAGTATATTAATGCATAAAAGGTCATATAAACGTCATTGTATGGTAAGAAATAAAACGATACAGTATAGTAAGGCATAAAAATGCTGAAAAACGTCATAGTATAGTATGGCATAAAAATGTCAAAAAACGTCATAGTATAGTATGGCATAAAAATGCCAAAAAACGTCATAGTATAGTATGGCATAAAACCTCAAAAAAACATCATAGTATATTAATGCATAAAAGGTCATATAAACATCATAGTATGGTAAGGAATAAAACGATACAGTATAGTAAGGCATAAAAATATCAAAAAACGTCATAGTGTAGTATGCCATAAAAATGTCAAAAAACGTCATAGTATAGTATGGCATAAAACCTCAAAAAAACATCATAGTATATTAATGCATAAAAGCTCATATAAACGTCATAGTATCGTAAGGAATAAAACAATACAGTATGGTAAGGCATAAAACAACATAGTATAGTAAGGTATAAAAATGCCAAAAAACATCATAGTATAGTATGGCATAAAACCTCAAATAAACATCATAGTATATTAATGCATAAAAGCTCATATAAACGTCATAGTATCGTAAGGAATAAAACAATACAGTATAGTAAGGCATAAAAATATCATAAAACGACATAGTATAGTAAGGCATAAAAATATCATAAAACGACATAGTATAGTAAGGCATAAAAATATCATAAAACGACATAGTATAGTAAGGCATAAAAATATCATAAAACGACATAGTATAGTAAGGCATAAAAATATCATAAAACGACATAGTATAGTAAGGCATAAAAATATCATAAAACGACATAGTATAGTAAGGCATAAAAATATCATAAAACGACATAGTATAGTAAGGCATAAAAATATCATAAAACGACATAGTATAGTAAGGCATAAAAATATCATAAAACGACATAGTATAGTAAGGCATAAAAATATCATAAAACGACATAGTATAGTAAGGCATAAAAATATCATAAAACGACATAGTATAGTAAGGCATAAAAATATCATAAAACGACATAGTATAGTAAGGCATAAAAATATCATAAAACGACATAGTATAGTAAGGCATAAAAATATCATAAAACGACATAGTATAGTAAGGCATAAAAATATCATAAAACGACATAGTATAGTAAGGCATAAAAATATCATAAAACGACATAGTATAGTAAGGCATAAAAATATCATAAAACGACATAGTATAGTAAGGCATAAAAATATCATAAAACGACATAGTATAGTAAGGCATAAAAATATCATAAAACGACATAGTATAGTAAGGCATAAAAATATCATAAAACGACATAGTATAGTAAGGCATAAAAATATCATAAAACGACATAGTATAGTAAGGCATAAAAATATCATAAAACGACATAGTATAGTAAGGCATAAAAATATCATAAAACGACATAGTATAGTAAGGCATAAAAATATCATAAAACGACATAGTATAGTAAGGCATAAAAATATCATAAAACGACATAGTATAGTAAGGCATAAAAATATCATAAAACGACATAGTATAGTAAGGCATAAAAATATCATAAAACGACATAGTATAGTAAGGCATAAAAATATCATAAAACGACATAGTATAGTAAGGCATAAAAATATCATAAAACGACATAGTATAGTAAGGCATAAAAATATCATAAAACGACATAGTATAGTAAGGCATAAAAATATCATAAAACGACATAGTATAGTAAGGCATAAAAATATCATAAAACGACATAGTATAGTAAGGCATAAAAATATCATAAAACGACATAGTATAGTAAGGCATAAAAATATCATAAAACGACATAGTATAGTAAGGCATAAAAATATCATAAAACGACATAGTATAGTAAGGCATAAAAATATCATAAAACGACATAGTATAGTAAGGCATAAAAATATCATAAAACGACATAGTATAGTAAGGCATAAAAATATCATAAAACGACATAGTATAGTAAGGCATAAAAATATCATAAAACGACATAGTATAGTAAGGCATAAAAATATCATAAAACGACATAGTATAGTAAGGCATAAAAATATCATAAAACGACATAGTATAGTAAGGCATAAAAATATCATAAAACGACATAGTATAGTAAGGCATAAAAATATCATAAAACGACATAGTATAGTAAGGCATAAAAATATCATAAAACGACATAGTATAGTAAGGCATAAAAATATCATAAAACGACATAGTATAGTAAGGCATAAAAATATCATAAAACGACATAGTATAGTAAGGCATAAAAATATCATAAAACGACATAGTATAGTAAGGCATAAAAATATCATAAAACGACATAGTATAGTAAGGCATAAAAATATCATAAAACGACATAGTATAGTAAGGCATAAAAATATCATAAAACGACATAGTATAGTAAGGCATAAAAATATCATAAAACGACATAGTATAGTAAGGCATAAAAATATCATAAAACGACATAGTATAGTAAGGCATAAAAATATCATAAAACGACATAGTATAGTAAGGCATAAAAATATCATAAAACGACATAGTATAGTAAGGCATAAAAATATCATAAAACGACATAGTATAGTAAGGCATAAAAATATCATAAAACGACATAGTATAGTAAGGCATAAAAATATCATAAAACGACATAGTATAGTAAGGCATAAAAATATCATAAAAACGTCATAGTATGGTAAGGCATGAGACAACATAGTATAGTAAGACATAAAAATGCCAAAAAACATCATAATATAGTAAGGTATAAAAATGTCATATAAACATCATAGTATGGTAAGGCATAAAACGATACAGTATAGTAAGGCATAAAAATGTCAAAAAACGTCATAGTGTAGTATGCCATAAAAATGCTAAAAAACGTCATAGTATAGTATGGCATAAAACCTCAAAAAAACATCATAGTATATTAATGCATAAAAGGTCATATAAACATCATAGTATGGTAAGGAATATAACGATACAGTATAGTAAGGCATAAGAATATCAAAAAACGTCATAGTGTAGTATGCCATAAAAATGTCAAAAAACGTCATAGTATAGTATGGCATAAAACATCAAAAAAACATCATAGTATATTAATGCATAAATATCATATAAACGTCATAGTATGGTAAGGCATAAGACAACATAGTATAGTAAGGCATAAAAATGCCAAAAAACATCATAATATAGTAAGGTATAAAAATGTCAAAAAATGTCATAGTATAGTATGGCATAAAACCTCAAAAAAA